TGTGGAAAAGTAATTGCCCCCAAAACTAACAGCTGGTTGTTCCACCCTCGGCTGCAAGAACTGCCATCAAGCCCTGGCAGTGAGTCCTTCACATCTCTGTGGTGAAGCTTTGACCCACGTTCAGCCACACTGGAGCACTTTCCATGCCAAAGCATCTCCATCAGATTGAGGCCCGACTTTGTTCGTTGCTTCTTTGAGCCATTCAGAGGTGCACTTGATGCTGTGTTGGGTTATTTTCCTGAGTGCTCCTGTCAGGTCATAAACTGATGGCCTGACATTCTCCTTCAAGAGTTTCTGGTAGAGACACATTTATGGACTATCCTTGAAGCAGCACAGCAGCCCATCACACCACCACCGTGTCTGACTGCTGGTATGATGGTCTTTATATGAAACGCTGTGTTAGTTTGATCTCATGTGTAACTCAAGCTTCCAGTCTTTGTGTTGTTTTTGGTCAGCAATGGTTTTCTTCCCCTTGTTTAATGGTTTTCTGGAGTCCCAGCCTTAGAGACGGCTCTGTGTCCATCCTTTCCACACATGGCAGCGTTTCGTTTTCCAGCAGGTTCTTTTTTTAGCTCCTTTTGTTCATTTTGTCTAATAAACGACTTGATAAGAAATCACCTAACATGCAGCTGATTTCTTGAACATGTGTGACAGTGAGCCTGTGTGTGGCGAAGCTGGACACAGTAATTCATGAGGGGGGCAATTACTTCTTCACACAGACCACGGTAGCTTTTTTCCCGTTAATAGATGAAGTCCACAGTTAAGTCTTTGTGTCATATCAACATTTGATGACATGAAACGTGTAACTGTGACAGATATGCAAAAAGAGATTTCTGTTCTGTGTTCACGTGGCCTCCTCGTCTGTCACAGGCTGACGTGTCCATGCTGGAGGGGGAGAGGTCTCACAAGAAGTCAAAGAAAAGGAGGAAGACTGCTGACAGAAGTCCTGAAACTACTGAGACACACACGCTGAACAAGAAAGGTACCGCTTTGTTTGTCAGTGGGATAATACAGCTGCTGCAGTGTTTACTGTGCATTAGATGGAGCGATTGTAAAGAGAGACATCCACAGGCATCAGAGATGCATTATGGGTAATCTCCGTCCCTCACTGAGCGTGCACCTCGTGCAGTGGGTGGGAGCTGAGGTGCGTCTTAGACGATATCTGGCCCCACTTTAACAGGGTTCAGCTCCACCCCCACAACATTTTCAGCCTTGTGGAAAAACTTGTATGCAAACATTTTTTGACCCCTTATTTATAATTATTATTATTAGTCCTTTATTTATCCAGGTAAAAAAATCTCATTGAGATTAAAATCTCATTTCCAAGAGAGACCTGGCATCATGGCAACAAAAGTCAAAAGTCACATACCACATAAGTATATAACATTTAAAACAAATACAATATCCCATGTGTAAAATATACAATAACAGATCAAATTAAGGGTACATTAAAAACAATCACACTGAAAGGAACGAGAGCTGTTCTCTCGTTCCTTTAAGACAGACTTAAACTCTCCCGAGGTAATTCTGATAATTTCAGTTCCTTCTGCAGATTATTCCAGGAAGCAGGGCAGCGTATTTAAAAGCCTTTTCCCCCAATTCTGTTCTGATTTTTGGGACAATCAATTGTATGATTTTGTGCGAACGAAGGCTGTATTGGTTGTGGTTTTTACACATATAAACACATAAATAAGATGGAACCAGCCCAAGGAGAGATTTATAGATAAAGGTCAACCAATGGGAGAGTCTGTGAATATGCAAAGATGGACATTTAGCAGCAGCATACAAAGAACAATGATGAACACGATTTCCATAGCCAGTA